AGGGAGTAGGTGAAAACCACAAGGGAGGACCACACCTCCCTTTCTCCCCAAGCCAACCCCTCACAAAATTGGGTGCAATGGGAGGCTTCCAGCTGGTAACCCGCCTTGGGCACCAAGGCAGCCATGCTGGCGCCCGGTCCCTAGGTTAGGCCTGCTCAGCTGGGCCTTGCCGCACCAGCCTGCAGCAACAAGCTGCGCATATGCGGGCTGCTTGTTACCGGGCGCTGCTGCTACTCACCAAGCTCAGTGCTAGCAGTAGGTGCTTGGCGCGCGAGCTGTTGGGCGTGCCAGCCCGCATGCATGCTCGGGCATGCTGCCATGCCTTGCTTGCAGGGCTGCTCGCCCAGCCAATGCATGCTGGGCTTGTAGCCAAGCATTGCCTTGCGGCAAGGTGCCCGGCTAGCTATGCTAGCCCACCTAGCCCTCGCTTGGCTAGGCCATTGCGAGGCTAGGATTTTTGCGCGCGTTGACTTGTTCTTTGACTAATTCCTCGTCTCGTTAATTACGTAAATCGACTCGACGTTCAACACTCGGCTTCGACGCTCTAAGCTCGGAATCCGACGTCTTAGTTCATTAAATCTCTATCGACTCATTTAATCCCTCGGATTAATTCGTCGCTTTGGTTCGGTTACACGGTTGGGTGTGATCCGAAGGGTTCAGTCAAGAGCAAGCTGTAATATTTAATCACTAATCGGAAGCGGCCTCCAGACAGGCATTTCGATCACTTGACCTCACTAAATAATTAGCTTTCCTAATTAATTCCGAACCCTTTATCGGAATAATACACTTGTTCGAAGGACACCATTCCTTTCAATATGATATTAGATTACATTAAGTTAGCAGAAATGCAAATTCATACACTACAAGAAAATTGGTTTTTCGTAGCGATTGTACATTCGCTACAATATGCACATGTGTTTGTGAAATAGTAGAGGAATCCGTATCATTTTACAATCGACATAGTAAACCCATATGAAATCGATACGAAAAACATAATAATATTTAAGCCAAATTAGAAAATAACACCCAAAAAAGCCCTTGATTTTGATAATAACACCTCAAAAAAAAAAGTTTTATTATAACACCACTAAAAATCCCAAAAAATTGGTTTCACCACCTACTAACGGATTTTTGGATGGAATCCGTTAGTGGGACCCCTATGGACACGTGTCAAATAGGTATTGGTTTAAAAAAATTAAATAAAAAAAAAACACCCTAACCCAGCCACTAGCCTTCCACCGGCAGCCCAATCCTAGCCGCCGGCACCCTTTATCCCACCAAAACCAGCGAAATCAGGCCAACCACCACCCTCATAACTAGCGACAACCATCCTAGTCCTATCAACCGTCACGAAAACGAAATCCACCGCATAATTCGCCGCCACTTTGGTTTCTGGGTACGGGTTTGGGTTTGGGTATGGGTGTGGGTTGGGGTTTCGGCGGTTTGGCGACAGTTTTAAGTAGGGGAGAGGAGTTCGACGAAAGTGGTGGGTGTGATGCTGTTGTTTCGGCTGGCTTAGGTTGGGGTTACGGTCGTGCGGCGACGATGTGGGCTGGGGTAGCGGTGTTCGGCGACGGTGTGGGCTGGGGTTTCGGCTGGTTTAGGTTGGGGTAACGGTGTTCGGCGAAGGTGTGGGCTGGGATAACGGTGTTAGGCAAAGGTGTGGGTTGGGGTCACTATGGTTCGGCGACGGTTTCGGAGCTTTGTCGACGATTTCAGGGGCTAGGTATGGGTGGGATCGGCGCCGGTGGTGGAGGTAGCTGGCTGGGTTAGGGGGTACGTTTTTTTTTTTAATTATTTTTAAGCCAATAAACAACTGACACGTGTACATGGCGGGCCCCACTAACGGTTCCCATCCAAAAATCCGTTAGTGGATGGTGAAACCAAAATTTTGGGATTTTTGGTGGTGTTATAATAAAACTTTTTTTTTTTGTGGTGTTATTATCAAAAGCGGGGGTTTTTTTGGGTGTTATTTTCTAATTTGGCCTAATATTTATTCACCTTTTTTCTTCTCATTTATAAAATTATGGAAAAACGTATCGTTTACAATCGCCACTAAAACCCAAAAATTGATACGAAAAGCCTTTTTTACATTAGATTTTTAAATTTGTTTGACTATGAGAACATAAAATATATCATGGCTTATTGGATAAACATTTAATATTAGAGGTTGAGGTTTCATGTTCGAACCTTGTATAGATCATAGGTAGGGATTTTTTTATTTATTTTTTGTGGAAAATGAGTTCAACATTTGTAGTGATTATAATCGCTACAGTAATCACCGTAATTGAATGTAGTTCTCCGTATCGATTAATGAGGACAACCCCAGCAAAAGCGAAAAACACTACTAAAGGCTATGGTAACAACATATATTGTATCGAATAACCATTCGTTGAGAATTTTTTTGTACCAATTACAATCGGTACGAAATGTTAAAATAATCGCTACGAAAAGGTATTTTTCTTGTAGTGATATATGTGGCCAACTAAACTATTAATTAATAAATTTATAAAAATAACTCTAATTATGAAATAAATATATTTTTCAATTAGTAAAAATAATTTAATTTCAATATTAATAATTAATGTAATTTTGTTTTTTACAAAATTGTAGAGCCTAAATTATTTTTGTTTAACTTCGATATATTTACTGATCAATAATTATTTTTACAGATTCACAATTGTATTTGTCTTTGAAGTTATCGCTTTTAGTGATTAAAACTTAATTTTATTGAAATTGATTTTATATTTTAAAATTAAATAATCTTCACCAAACTAATTTTTTTTCTTTTTTCTAGATAAAATTTAAGCAAAGTTTATTTAGTTTGCTAAAATTTAATGAAATTATTAACTAAGATTTATAATTTTTTAGACATTGGTAACATTGATTGACGTATCATTTTTCATACATATTAAACTAGATGAAAGCCCGTGCGGTGCATGGTTTTTCTTGCATAAATTTTATAAAAGGATAATTTATAATAAATATATAAATAAATAATCACTATTTGTTGTTTTTTACATTTTAAATTTCATTCGTTAATTTTGCTTACGTGACGATTGAATTTTAATTGTTTTTTTTTACACATCAATCTCATAAAAAGGATTATTTTCTTAATTATATCCTATAATATTTGATTAACTTGCTATTGCAAGTTAGAAAAGTATAATTATTGCACATCAATCTAAAAAATTTATAAACTTTTGCTTAGGTGGCCAGTGAATTTTTAATTCTAAAATAAAATACAAATCTAATTTTTAATTGGTCTAAATAATATCTTTGCTTATGTGGCACACCGAATGCTCTCGAAAAAATGCCTACTTTATTTATATGTATGAAATCCTAAAAATTTGTATGTATCATAGTTGAAAATTTAACAACAAAAGTAATAGACTGAAGACCAAATTAAAAAAAAATAAAATAAAAAATCCCCCTTTTTTAGTTACATGAAATATTAAGAATTATCTAGCTAATTACAGCGTCATATTTCACAAATTCTCTTATTTTTATTTTGCCTGGACGATGCCCGAATTGTTGGTAAAAAAATTTTAAAATATTTTGGCTTAAATGTTAAATATAATCATATAATCCTTTTGATAATGCAGAATTTAGACTTACGATATCATACCGCTTATTTTTATATAATAGTGTACTTACTACTTATTGTAGTTTTACTTTACCAAATTAAAATTATTTTTACTGATTAAAACTGTTTTTTTTTTTTTTTTTTTTTTTTTTTTTTTTTTTTACCAATTCTCTATTTTTTTTAAAATAAATTAAATATATTATAAATGAATTTTATTTTAAATAACTTTTTAAAAGAATTTTAGGATGTATTAAAAGTTACCATCAATTTTGTATATATGAAATATTAGAAGTATATCGACAATAAAACTCTATACAACATTTTTATCCTATAAAAACCATCCAAAATTCGGTTACTTAGCATCATATGTGTCACAATAATACCTATTTGTCGTTTACGTGGCTCGACACTTGACGAAAATTGAATGACAAGTGTCGATGTCTCGTTGTCTGGGTGCGAGACCGACTTTATTTATTAGTGATATGATATGATTTTAAAAAAATGTATTAATATTGATATGTAATTTTTAAAAGAAATGTATTAAGAGATCAATGTACTAAATAATTACATGCAACTCTTAATACTATATGCTTGATAACAAGAATAAAAAAATGGTAAAATAAATTGAAAACAACAAACCCTGAATCAGCTACACGATTTGCCTCTCTCCAAATCACCACAAAAAATCCCAAGGATAGCAAATTTTATTTAAGGCAAAATTATTGTAGAAACCGTGTAATATCATTGGGAATTCAAAAACGGCATAAACAAAAACAAAAACCAGGTGCTTAATAAATCACGTTTATTATTCACTTTATAACAAAAAAGAAAAAAAATAGTCAATCGTCCTCAAAACAAGGGGCAGATAATTACGCATTTACGCTCCGATACAAATCTAGTAGTAGCGGTGTGCAACGGATCAGATCACAACAATTATCATTGATTTTAGTAGAAGCGATGCAAGTTGCATTATGGTGTGGGTTAAATGATTAGGTCTTTCACACGGTACACGTAAGACTAAGTAAGCAAATACCCTACCACCATTGTCTTATTGAGTTGTATCCACGTATTTTTTTTAATACTTTTTCCAATTTTACCCATTCTATTTTTATCAATTTGCTAGTCAACTTCAAATCACCACCACCTTCCATCCTTTTATGTTGTGATTATGAATGAGCTGTTTCACAACAATACTATTTGTGCCTAACAAACCAACAAATCTATTTTCAAATTATTTAAAAATAAAGCATAGGAATTGTAATTTGTATTGAATTTTCCACGTCAGGATGAGTCAAGTTACAGTAAGTATTTTTTATTTTTATTAAAAAAAGAAAATAGCCAACTGAAACGATCCCTCTAGGTTTCTGCTGAATTTTCCCCTTTTTTTACACTATAAATACCTTCCTACAATTTTTATCAATATTATTCAAACCTAAAATACCTCTCTCTACCTTCTCTCTCTATTTTCTCTCTCCTACAAAGCTTTCTTTTCTCCGCCGTTAGAAACACAAAAACACCAACACCGCCGTGAGAAAGAGGCGTTAGCCGGCGAATTAATGCGGAAGTATGAGTTGTCTATCGCTTTTTAACCCGTATGTGCGAGGTGGTATTGCTCAGAAGAATCATCATGTGCTCGGAGGCCGGAATTGGCACCGTAAACACGTCGAAGACGGGTAGTTTTTCGTGTTTTTCATTTTCTTAGAACAAAATACAAAATATAGAAGATCTTGTGAATTCTTAAACCTCCTCCTCTCTCAGATTAGAAAAAAAAGAGTCAAGTATATATATATTCGGGGTTAATTTGGTAGATATTGAAGTTTAATTCGTGATTTCTCAAGTCTAAAATGATGGGGGAATTCATGTTAGCGGTTAAAGATAACAATAGCAACAAGAATGCCGCCGAGTCGCGGCCGAATTACTGTAAATTGGTGATGCAGGGGAAGTATGAGCTCGGAAGGGTGCTGGGTCAGGGGACCTTTGCTCGGGTTTACTATGCGCGCAACCTCGAGTCGGGGAAGAGCGTTGCGATGAAAGTTGTGGGAAAAGAGAAGGTTGTAAGGGCGAAGATGATGGATCAGATGAAGAGGGAGATCAGCGTTATGAAGAGGCTGAAACACCCTAATATTGTTGAACTGTACGAGGTTATGGCGACCAAGTCTAAGATATTCTTAGCGTTGGAGCTCGTCCGAGGGGGCGAGCTCCACGCTAAGGTTTCGAAAGAAGGGAAATTAGAAGAACATACGGCGAGATCGTATTTCCGGCAATTGATCTCTGCTGTTGATTACTGCCATAGTAGAGGGGTTTTCCATCGAGATCTGAAATTGGAGAATTTACTCTTGGATCAAGATGATAATCTCAAGATCACTGATTTCGGATTGAGTGCTTTCTTTGAAGAAGAGGAGAATAATCAGGTTTTGTTGCGGACTACTTGTGGGACGCCGCACTATGTTGCGCCTGAGGTGGTTAGCAAGAGGGGTCAAGGGTACGACGGTTCGAAGGCGGATATATGGTCTTGTGGTGTGATATTGTTTGTACTTCTTGCTGGTTATCTCCCTTTTCATGATGAGAATATTATGCAGATGTATCGGAAGGTGTACAAGGGTGATTTCACTTGTCCGTCTTGGTTTTCGGCCGAGGCGAGGGAGTTGATCACTCGGATGCTTGATCCTAACCCTGCTACTCGCATCACCTTGGCTGAGATTATGGAATCAAAATGGTTTAAGGTTGATATCTTCGAGGCCGACGACGAAGAAGAGGGAAATAACAACACCACCGTCAACAAGTTCCTGAAGAAGGAAGTGGAGGCGTTGAATGCTTTTCATATCATATCGATGTCAGAAGGGTTAGATCTCTCTGCCCTCTTCTCGGAAGAGAAGAAGAAGAGGGAGGAGAGGGAAGAAATTGGATTCACGACAACAATGTCTGAAACTGAGGTGATTTCGAGGTTGGAAGAATTGGCTGCCTTGAGTAGTGGTAAGTTCAAGGTCAGCAAAGTAGGGGACTCTGTGGTGAGGCTGCAAGGGCAGGAGAAGGGGAGGAAAGGTAAGCTGGTAATCGTGGTCGAGCTATTCGCGGTGTCTTCCTCTTTCCTAATGGTGGAGGTGAAGAAGGATAGCGGCGACACGCTCGAGTTCAACCGGTTTTGCCAGAACCAACTCCGCCCTGCTCTCTTGGATGTTATATGGACCACCGCCGCCTCCGATAATCACACCATACCACCTGCCTCATACCCCTGTGTTGCAGTGTGCTAAAATTTTGGCAGATGCCTTAAACACCCCCCTTTCTTTTAGGATTTTGAGAGTTTGACATGATGTTATATTGTTTGTGTTGTTTTTCTGTTGTGCTATTGATTAATTATTCTTTTTTTTTTTCATGTTTCATGTCCATGGTTTTATCAGTCAGTTATAGATTTTCTTTTTATGTTACTGATGTGTACCTGATTTTCGATGTCAATACAAGGTGATTAGAAGTAGCTTCTTCTGTCTAAATTGCTTAGCAATTACCATTGTTTGTTTGCCATACTCTGTAGATGTTTGCTGCTATAGTTTTCAAAAATCCGATTTCCGATTTTGCCTTCAACTAAGTTTTTCAATCTAAGAAACATTTTTACCACAATTTTGATAAGGGTTTGCTGGTATAGTTTTTAAAATTCGATTTTCAGATTTTGTCAATTTCACCACAATTTTTATAAGGTTTGCTGAATTGCTGGTAAGCCTGGTATAGTTCTTAAAATTGGATTTTCAGATTTTGTCTACACCATGCTTTTCCATTAAAGAAACAATTTTACCACAATTTTGATAAGGGTTTGGGCTGGTATAGTTTCTAAAATTCGATTTTCAGAATTTCACTGCATCATGGTTTTCAATTAAAGAAACAATTTCACCAAAATTTTGATAAGGTTTGCTGGTATAGTTTTAAATAATTCAATTTTCCAGTTTTGTCTACACCATGGTTTTCAATCAATTTCTACTTCACCACAGTTTTAGTAAGTATTCACTGGTTTAAAACCCTCTTGTAATTGGGAGGAAGAGAAGGCTTGCAGGTTTTACGCTCACCAGACAAGAAAATCATTGTTCAATCATGCTTTAGTTCGATTTTTCGTGTCAGTTTTTCCCAAAATGTATCTTTCGTAAACTGTTTTAAGTTGAAATTCTTAAAAAGAGTCGTAGCAATTTGTGTTGAAAACAATTTCAAAGCTTTGAAGCAACAATTTCAGAGTAAGGAGACACAAAGATTGTCCTTCCTAAGTTTTCCAAATGGTGTTCATTGAAATGGGAAGGAAATTGAATCTATTTTATCCCTTTCCCAGTTTACTTTTGCTTCCCTCTGAAATCAAAGGAGCATATGATCCACTAATCTTTGAACTCGTACTCCCTAACTCTTTGATTCCCCTCACCCAATGAAGCCGAAAGTGTTAAGTAAATGAATAGATTTAAACTTGTCACTGTATTCACAACTTCCGTAGCCATGTTGCAATTGTTCAATGCATTGACGATGAACACTAACAGCCTATTAACATTTTTACTCGATGTAAACATTTGAAAACAGTTAGTAAATTTTCTTAGATTATATGTAATTGATCATCATAACTGCACATATCTGCTTGTTTAGTCTTTATGAAGAAAAGTAGCCAATCTCATGGTATGAACACTGGAGGAGACATTATGAGGTGAATCATTCAGTAAGTGTTTTGTGTTCAATAGTTATTTGATTAATGTGTAGTACATCTGTTTTTCCCTTATTCCTGTTTTTGAGGTCGGATGATTTGAATCTGTGCTGCATGTTTCTTCCATTTGGTTGATGAGATAACATAACATGTGTGATATGTACCTTTTTCCAATCCATCTGATAGCTTCACATATGACCATATGATATGTTTCATGTTATATTTCCATCTAGTTGATTGTATAACATCTAACATGTCTTGCATGTTCATGTTCCATGTGGTTGATGAGACGATCTCTGATGTGTTGTATGTTCATTAACTTCAAATGTATGACGTGTTTCATTTACGAGTTTCTTGATAATGTTTGTCAATCTGTTGCGTATTTTAGTCTGCCTTTCTTGTTCTTGTCTTATGTGTTTCAGGACTTGATCTTGGATTTGTTGGCCAATTATGGTAAGTATGTACTGTATTTTGTTTCTGGCTTCGCAATTCATTCTGTGTTTTACTCCGTACCTGTGGTGAATCTGTGGTTCCCCTCATACAGGTTGGTGTTTGGAGTTGAGGTTCATAGTTGATCTATACTATGATTGTGGTCAAGCATGAAGCATCTCTGATAGTTACAATCGAATTACAAGGACATTTGATGTTGCTTACTTGAGTAAATTGACAGGTAAAATTTCTGCTTATCACCATAATTTTTCTAACATCTTAAACGTTTGATAAGAATAATTTCAGACAAAGTTTCATGTTGTGGAAGTAAAGATCAAGAATAATTAACTTGCACTTGTAATTCACACAAAGTTGAGTACTCTTCAACGTTCTTCCTATAGTTTAATTTTCTGCTTCGAATAGACGAATAATATGCTTTACCCTGCTGTGATAGTTTAGTTTTCTGCTTCGAATAATGCTTTACCCTGCTGTGATAGTTGCTATGGTTTATTTTGTTAGCACTTTTTTCCAAATTCTTTAGTGATATTATGCCCTTATTCTTGCACCACCTTGATAGTTCATTCTGGATGATTTCATTCTTGCACCACCTATATCAGCGTTGATGAATGGTAACGAAATGAACCTAGTCTTTGAATCAACTTGTAAAGCTCCTAGAGTTGTATGCCTCGTTTGGAAAAACTAGTAGGGGTAGTTTGTAGATTTTAGCGTTTGAGTAGAAGAAAACTGTACTCGCGACAGAAAATCATCACTTCGACAGTGATAGAAGCCACTTGCTTGAAACTGTACTCCTGTACTACATTGTGAACCACTTGCTTGAAAGAGCAACTAGTGCATTGTGAACCACTTGCCTGAATAGTTGATATTGAAACCATATTAAACTAATTAATTACAAGAGCAATGATGTACCTAGAAAACAACCCATTACTTTATGCAGTACTGTATAAAAAAATCGACACTTTAGGCTCAAAGACAATTATATATATCTAAGAGAACGACCCCTTTTATTATATGCCCTTTTTGACTTTGATGTAGCCAATAAATACTTTTAGCGTATTAAATTACGGAGTAGTTGTTAAATTATTGTTTGATTAGATCATTTCGATTTCAAATTGACAATGTTTTTAAGTTGGTTTATCAGTACCTTTTAATTTGGTGTTGGATGCCAACTACTTTTGATTACTTTAGCTGATAAAGAATTTGGGTATTTTTTTTTTTTTTTTTTATGTTTAAAATTTTTTTTGTTTTAATGTTAAAAGATGGCCAAAATTATAAAATAGTTGCTTGATGGGACACGGGAGAGAATTCAGAGTATGTTTGTACTAGTTTTTTCCCCAAAGCTTAATCTCTTTGATGGAAATTGATTTATTATGATAAAATGGCCTGTAATTCCTTGGTTTCAAAAAAAAAAGATGGCCATAATTTTCAAATAGGCTCTTTTTTCTCGAACTCAATTAGTGGTTTTGTTGACATAAACTGGTAGTAGCCTTTTTACTATAGTAAACTGTTAATTCATTTATATATAACACTATAGGTTTATTTATTGTAAAACCGCTAATTGAATTATCAGTTTATTATGAACTTAGTCTACCTATTTTTTTTTATTTGGTTTTATGTTTTCGTTTTCAATTACTAAATCTAATATAAAAGCATAATTTAGCATACTTCCTCCGTTCTTTTTTACTTGACTCGCTTTGATATTTACACTATTCGCCATCCTTCCTTTGATCGTCTTTTGTGAAAAATATGTAAAGAAAAATATATTTTTTGTGGAATCTTTTTAAATTTGTCTCAATAAGTATTATTATAATATATAACCTCTATAAGCTTTACTTACGTATAATTAAAGTTATTGATCGTTGAAGTTCTGCATTGGTAAGTGGAATAAAAGAAATAAGTCGAGTAATAAAAAAAGGAGGAAATGTAATTTATGGCAGTGTATTACTGATCCGGGCTCGTTCTCGGGACTTCTCTTAGCTACTGTTACGTAAACACAAGCACACAACATACTCCCTAAAAAAAGTAAAGGTAAACACAATTCGGATAGTCTTGTAAGTTTGTTATGTAGAGAACTTGAGGTTCACTAGGCAAGGATTTCATTCATTTTTCCTGCTTTCATGTCATGAGGGGGGTAATTGTGTTGCACACATGGCTGCTAGACTTAATCCTTAGAACGGTTTTGAGCAAGTGTTTGTCGACTCTGTTCCGCAAGGCTTGATTGCCTTGGCGGAGATCGATGTTTCTTGATTATACTAATTAGGCTCGCGAGCCTTGTCCTTTAATAAAAAGGCTTTACAGGTGAAAAAAAACAGAGGATGCTAAATGCATGCTTCTTTCTTTATTGTTGCTAAATGTATGTTTCTATCTTTATGATTGTTAATTTTGTCATTAATTTATTCTTTTTGTGTTATAGGTGCGAAAGTTAATGATCGGGTAGCTTAAAATACGGAGCACAATATGGTTCTCGTGAAGCATCGGAGAGAACTCGTGCTTCACGTTGATTGTGGGTGATTCAGCATTCATACAATCACACGCAAACAGATGGAATTGGATGTGAAGATATTTTCCTTTGATTATTGTAGAACATTGGGGAGGTTTCATTAAGTATTCTATTGGTCATGTAATGTACAGTAGAATTTTATGTCTAACTTATAATATCCATCGTTATCACAATTTAAGTTTCACTTTTTCTAATAGACATTTCTCACTATTTTTCAAAATTTTCATTGTCAAATCTTGACAAAGGTTGATACAAACACTTTCCTAAAAAAAATAAAATAAAAAAAAAAATAAAATAAAATAAAATAAAAAAATAAGGTTGATACAAACACTAGAAGAAATATTTTTTAAAAAAACACTCAAAGAATGTACTTCGTATATTTTATAGATTAAATTTAAATTACAATAAATTTATTTATAAGATCTATACTCCTTCCGTGTTTTAATAAGTGACAATGTAACCTCTACAATACTAATAAGGAAACCCTATTATACTAAGTGAGTAACCCCAATATTGATAGCGTAACTCATATAACTCTAACAAAGTAACCCCTATAACACTAATCAGGTAACCTTATGTTGTGTCCAGTCACGCATAGAAGTTTATTGATAATTAATAAAATATATATTATTAATAAATGATTAATTATTAATAAACTATTAATTATTAATGATTAATTATTAATAATTGTTACTAATGGTTAATCATTAATTACAAATCATTAGGTATTAATTTTTAATTATTAATAATTGTTATTTAATAGATAGTTATTAATTACTAGTGTTCAAATTGAATCCTGAAGGGACAAATGACGACTGGACAATATTTTCGGCTCGAAAATTGAGATGTCATATATTGGGATCATACCAATTGGTTGTTGGGTGTAGTGGTGATTGGGGCTACACTTGGTAGGGAGAACCCGTGTTCGTTCCCCTTCAATAACAATTGGAACGAGACTAGAACCTAACCACCCACAACTAGACCCTAAATCCGGATTAGCCCCAAGGGTGAATCGGGTTGAAACACCAAAAAAAAAAAAAAAAAAAAAAAAAAAAAACTGGGATCATCATCGTGCCTCCCATGTGTCAATCAATGCCGATTCCGGTGCTCAACTCCCACTTTCTGATCATAAAATCCCTCCAGACCTCCTTACAACAAAAATCGCTTATACGGTCATTCTGTGCCATTTTTAACATAAAAAGTTCTTTCTCACCAGAAATTGAATAAAATCCCTATTTAACAAATTTTCCTAATACTAGGGACTTCAACGTGGGTGCGCGTGGTGAAGGGTATAGATAGACCTTTGAGAAGAATTATTACCGATGTTTTATAAGCCCTATACTTGTTTGCTCTATAGACGATAAATGTATTGGATGTTGTGTAGTATTGTGTAATGTTCTAAACTTTAGTTGGACTACTTTGATTTAGTGATTAAACGGTAAAGGATATTGAGTTTGATGTAGAAATATAAATGTCTAATAAATTCTAAATAAGAAAATTAAAACTAAAAGAAATAGAGAGAGTAAAAGATGAATTTAAATATTAAAATAAACATAACTTTTTAAATCAATTTAGATAATTCAAGAGACAATTATGAGACTTTTGAAATCAAATGGGGGCAAATATTTAAAAGAATATTTTTAAGGATATAAATATCCATGCACTATTTGTTTTGGGTAAAAATTTCCAGGCCACGTGGCCCAATCAGATGGTGACACATGTCACAATAGGAGAGGTTCAAAATGAACTAATTCTCAGCTAACACGTGGCACTCCCAATCAATAGGGAAAAAAGACGGCCTTTAGGGCCCAATTCCCGAGAAAAGCCGCAAAACGGCGCAACCCCCCATATCTAGGTCAGAATGACCTAGATAGAGGCACATTTACCAACGACCCTATAAATAGGGAGATTTCCCCCATTTTGGGGACACATTTATTTATTACACAATCAATTCTCTCACATCAGAGAAAAACACCTGATCTCGGGATTTGAGAAAATCTACTTTTATGTTTCCACACTTTTTATCTTACTTCGATCGGTTCTAACTTAATCGTCGGAGACGGAACTCCTACCAACAACAGCTTCCGTTGTTTTGCAGGTACAGCCGGCAGAGAAATCAGCCTTGGTGGCGTAACTCTCCCGAGGGACAAAAACCCCGAAACATTTGGCGCCATCTGTGGGAAGGGTACCTCTAAGATAGTTTCTCAAGAGATTGTACCGCCTCCTGAGAATAAGCAGCCTACGGCTGAGGTTTATTTAGACTATGATACGGAACCAAAGGTTGAAACATATACTGCCGCAGATGGATCCCTCATTACAAGGCGCATCTGTTCCAACGAAAACAAGGAATGGGCGATGGTCAGGCAGGTCCGAGTAAGTCATCCGGCCAGCCCCAGGCGGCAAGACAGTCTGCTCACATCACCCGAGACGAGTTCATGAAATTCATGACGAGTTTCAAGGGAGAGATGAAGGACCTGATCTCCAACAGGACGGCTGGTCCCAGCAAGGGTTAGTCGGCCAAGAAGCCCTCTCGCTCTGAGAAGGCTAAGTCAGTCAAGGACAGGGAGCCCACTCCGCACCCGAAAACAACGGAGGGGACCCGACCTTTGATTGATTGGACTAAGTTCCACTTCCCTGAGCCAGGGAAGAGGAAGGCCATCCGGCAAACACAGCCGGATGGCAGCAAGAAGACTTACTCTGATGCTCGATTCATCATTGAGCAGAAGAAAAACCAGCAACTGTCTGACTCGGCTTCAACGTCGACGTTCCCAGAAAGCTTCAAGAATACCTCGATGAGGTATTCTCAATCTGTACAAGAGAGCCTGTCAGGTGGCCCGTCCGTCCATACAAGTCCTTAGATGATCGGCTCGGCCCCGTATGTGCCCCAAAAGTCACACAGGCCATTTGCCCATCCTTACATGCAACCTACCCTCTTCGGGGGTCAGGCGGTATATAACGTCCAGCCACTAGACTGGCAGCTCCGTTTGCTAAAATTAAGGGAACAACCTTCTACGTTCTCCAAGGAGATAACCGAGGCGGCACAACCGGCCAAGGTTAAGAATGTCATGGTGGGTACTTACAATGGTACCACCAACCTAGAAGACCACCTGTTGACATACACCCACCTCATGTACTTGCAGGGGTTGGATGACGCCGCATGGTGCAGGTGTTTCCCAACCACGCTGAAGGGCATTGTCCAGCAGTAGTTCAACAATTTGCCGGCTGGGTGCATCAACAATTTTAGGACGCTTGCATTCTTGTTTGACTCAAGAAAGTCCGACAAACAAAAAGGGAGTCGGCAAGAACAACCGGCTCAGAAAGCTAAAGAGAGCAAGAAGATAAAAGAAATCTGGGCGGTTGAAGATTCTGATCAGCCGTCCCAGAAGAAAAAGAAAGAGTTTAAACCGTACGTCCCAAAGTACGAGTTTAACAAAGACTTCTACTCCATCCTCATAGAGAAAAAAGACCGGGTGACTATTAAGAAGCCCACAGCAATGAAAGGTCCAGCCAAAAACTAGAATAAAGACAAGTACTGCCACTTCCATGAGGATATTGGCCATGACACCAACGACTGCTATAGCCTCAAGCGGATGTTGGATAGTTTAGCTGATAAGGGGTTGTTGAAATCTTACATCCTCAAGTCAAAGGTGACCCTGAATACGGACCCCAGACAGCCGTAAAAAAAGCCAGCAAAGCCTACTAATAGTTTGGACACTGACAAGGAGCCGATCTACACCATAGCAGGCAGCTTTGCTGGAGGGGGCCGACAATCAGGGGCACCAAGGACCATGTCAGACGGCTAGATGTCAGCTCCGTCGATGAGGGACAAGCGTCTACCGACACATTCCCTAAGGTCGTCATCACTGAAAAGGACCGTGGCAAAGTCCGCCAACCGCATGATGACCCCATTGTCATAAAACGCAAGGTGGCCAACTAGTGTCTGTCCTCATTGCTACCGGTAGCTCGTCTGACATCATCAGCTACAAGTATCTATCCAAGCTGAAGTACAGGCCCAACAACATGCACAAGGTCACTCACCCCTTGGTTGGTTTTGGGGGTGGAGTTGTGCACCTGGTCGGCCGAATTGATTTACCCATCTGGCTGGGAGAGAAGGGAGAGGGGCGCCACATGGTCGTCTGGTTCTTAGTTGTAGAAGAGCTGACCGTCTATAATATGATTTTGGGCCGTCCGACTCTAAACGAATCTAAGGCCGTTATCATCCCATCCCTCATGCTGCTGAAATTTGAGAAAGTTGACGGTTCTATTGGCTCCCTGAGCGGGGACTAGAAGACGGCTAGAGAGTGCTACCTCTTAGACGTCAAGCCCATGGCGGCAGCAGCTGGCCAGGGTGAGGAGCCAATAGACCTTGACGATGTCAAAGAGCAAGAGCCTGCCCTTCCAGCAGCCGATAAGAAAAGAAAGGCCGACCAGCTGGTGGCTGTAAAAAATAAGAAGCAATAGCAATCACTGACCGAGGAACGGTCAGATGACCTCCGTCCCCAATCGGCTGGAGAACATATGGACATCGTTCTAGATGATACACGTCCAGAGCGTACTGTAAAGGTTAGGACGGTTTCTTTTGCTAAACTGGGTGCTAACTTGCACCATCTGCTGAAGGAATTCAAGGACATCTTTGCCTTTGAAGTGGAAGAGATGACATGCATCTGCCCGGATCTTGCTGTCCACAAACTTGCCGTGGATCCAAAAAAGAAGCCTGTTAGGCAAAAGAAAAGAAATCACAGCGAGGAGAGATTTCAAGCGGCAGACGCTGAGGTCAAGAAGTTGTTAGACGTCAGGTTCATTCGGCAATGTCACTTCCCAGACTTGGTTGCGAATGTTGTCCTTGTAATGAAGTTGAATGGTACCTAGCGCATGAGTGTTTATTACACTGATCTGAACAAGGCATGTCCGAAGGACAGTTACCCGCTGCCGAAGATCGATAGTCTAGTCCACTCTACAGCCGGACATGCTTTGATGAGCTTTATGGACGCTTATTCTGGCTTTCATCTGATACCCATGTGAAAGAAAGATCAAGAAATGACGGCATTCGTCATTGATCAGGGGCTATGTTGTTATACTGTGATGCCGTTTGGTTTGAAAAATGCGCCTGCTACTTTCAAGCGAATAATTAATACAATCTTCATTAATCAAATTGATCAAAATGTAGAGGTGTACATTTATGACATGATAGTCA